CCCACGCTCCTAAATGCAAAGGAGAAAATGCAAAAGCCTGTTTGAAACGAGGGCACGGGTCTCACTGGCAAGGGCTGAGGGGGTCTGTGAGAGCAGAGCGCCAGCCCCAGCAGCAAGGGAATACCTAGTATTCTGTGAGCAGGGCATTGCCCTCTTTCTGTCAAGCATTTCATAATGATTTCATAATTTAAAATGCTCGGCTGCCAAATTAAGTGCATTTAAGAAAAGGTGTTTGCTGCCCTATCCCTCACTCGGACCTGAATGGGATACATGAAAAGAGCTGGATGTGCTTCAGCGGGACCATGAGSTTCCACAATGAGTGGCCATAAATTACTTTTTTGCATTGAGAAAAATGCATTGACCTCCAGGGCAGTTTGGATGGAAGGTGTTCAGCCAGGTGTAACCCTTTGGGGCAAATAAAGCAAAAATACAGCCCCAAATCTCACTACTTACCCTGCAACCCCTCACGTCCCCACGTCGCTCTGCAACTGGACAGGGCAGGAACTTTGCAGGTGGCCACATCTGAAACCAGAGCACCCAGCGCCATCCGTATTAATGTGATAGGAGAGGCTTGATGGCTTAATAGGCCCTTTCTATCCCTAATTTCCAGGAAGCTTTAAGACTGTGACAAAGACGAAAAGAACAGTAGAGAGAACCCAGAACAGCAAAGCAGAAAATGAATCTCAATTGATTTCTTTATTTAAATGGTGTGACCTATAATCCCCATCTCCAGATAGATTGCTGCTGATGGCTCCATTGTCGGCAGTCTTAAAGTGCCTCTCTCTGCAAGGAGATGTACTCGCAGGATTATGAAATAACAATAAGGATAATCCAGGACAAACAAAAGCGGCAGCCAAGCCCCTGCTTTTTGGTGTGTTGCTCCGGGCACGCTGCTGTAGTTGCGGCTCTAATGGGCACGGTGAATGAGCAAATCTGGATGTAGAAAACAGAGCCTTTTCAGCAGCGAATTCGATTTATACCCCCAGTTCCTTCAAACCTGGGAAGGTCACAAGGAACCCAGGAGAAATCACAGCATTTGAGATTCCTGCAGTCACCTACTCAGAAGGGAGCACCGAGACCTCATTTTATACTATACATTTTATACTATACTTTATACTATACTTTTGACTTACCCCCTGCAAGTGAGATGAAGCTACTCTGCACATTGCACGAGGGGCAAACCCTTTGTTATTACACTCCCAAATAACTACCAAATGCTACCAGCATTTGCTCAGCAACAACTCAAATGCTACAGGAACAAAATAATCCCAAAAATCTGGAGAAGATTTCCTTACTTATTTTCCAGGTCTCGGGCCAGAGGGCTGCACTGCAGGAAGATGAGGGTTTGRTCTTGCAAGCTGCTTGCTGCCTTTGCAAGGCTGTGTGAGTGCGAAGCCTCTAACCAAGAACAACTGGCAAATCACAGGGCCATCAGTGTGATTGGATTTAGTTAATAGCTAATTTAATTAGATTTATTTAATTGGCCCAATTTCCTGGTGTGTGGCAATGGCCCTTTCACTTGCTCTGAGAACAGGCTGTGGAGGAGCATGTGAGGAACCCAGGCAGAGAGAATGAGCACTTAAAAAAGCACCATTTCCTGCGGGGTAGCACACCTTTATTCAGGCAAGAATTGGAGGAACAGGATTTCAAAGCCATAAACATTTTTATTCAATTAACACTTTAAATGCAAAATTAATTTATATGGGATGTTTAAATTTAATTGGAGTCTAATTGGAATGTTATGGTACTCTAAACTGCAATTGATTATTAAAAATATATCTATGCTATCGAGTGCTAACAAGCATGGGACTGATGAATATTTTAATGCAGCGCTGCTAAAGCCCCAATAGATGTTTTTAATAAACTCAACTGGTGTTTAACTCGGAGGAACGAGTTGTCATTTTAAATCTAAGGAAGCGCATCTGTTTGCAAATAATTGTGGTGGATATTGCATATTAGGGAGATGCTGCAGGAATTTCTTCAAGGTTTGCTCTCGCATGTACTGTGAATAATTAAACCGGCACAAAGAAACCACGTTCCGAGGTTAAATTGCGATTTCCAAAAAGCAGTGAGGACCAAAACATGCAAAGCAAGACTGTCATAGAGAGATGGGATGGGGACAGCAGGCATCTCCATAGGGAAAATGTGTTGGGTGGCATTGCTGTCACCTGGGAGGCAGCACGCACTGCTGCTGCAGGGAAAGATGCTGCTGCACCCTCCCCATGCAGCCCCAGGACTCTCACGTGCCGATTAAATACTGCATTTAAATACCCAGTCTGCTTTGGGGAGATTTGTGGGGTTTTTTTYCCCTTTTTTTATATGTTTTTTCTCTGTAAAGGCGTTATGTTTTCCCCCAAAGTGGCTGCCTGCGAAGCTCCTTGTCTGCTCGCGGTGTGTAGGTGTGTGTATGTATCCGGSAGGGATGACATCAGCCAATTTAAAAGTTAATGACATCTTCTCAAAGAAAACCTCCATCTGGGTAGCAGAGCGAGTTGTTTTCTTCAAAAACRAAACTCAAAACTTTAAACGGTGAGTTCATCTCCCGGCGCTGYTGTATCCCGTGTCTGGCCAACTGCTTTTTGAAGCTGGATTCTGGATTTCTTCCATACAATCTGTCATTCAGCTCGCTGCCTCGTTCTGCTTGGATTTGACGTCAGATTGGTGTCTCGAACACAGCCTCTGATTGACAAGAATGCTATTTTATATACAGATCTGAATTCAAATTCATGTAAAGCAGGATTTCAAGACTTTTTTTTTTTTTCCCCTGAGATTGGCAGCTTCTTTCAAAGGCGAATTTCACTCCTTGTTGAACAATCCTGTATATCCTATGAAAATCAAGCCCTGAAACAACTGCAAGTCRACACAGTTTTGCAGCCTGGGGATCCATTTCCCGGGTTTGGGCCAAGCATTTGGAACCAGCTCCGCKATTACCCCAAATTCCTGCGATATTCCCAAACGCGGGAGCATCCTGAGCCAGCACAATAGCCCTGGGGATCTCACAGGGCAGGATTTCCTTCTGGCTTCCTCCCTCCCAGCAGGATCTTCTGAGGGAGCTGGGATACTGCCCAGGCCTCAGCCGCTTTGCTTCAACCTCACTGCCGGGACGCATTTTGGGTGGAATAAAGCTGATTTAGAACTTTGCAGCCTCCCATCCAATAACTTCACCAAAGTGACCTTGACTGGCAAGTTTTGCTYGCCCGGTTTTGCTTTTGAAGAAATAACCTTTCCAGGAGATCTCTCTTTTTTTTTTTTTCCTTCTTTTCCAGCTCCTGGGAGGTGCCATCACTTTGTAAGGAAGCTGCTGGCTGATGGAAAGACCAGASCAGCTGGTGGGACCAGCAGAGCTGCCTCATTTTCCGTGCTGTGCGTCCTGCTCTGTCCTGCAGATACGTCAGGTTATGGGGACCAGAGATGCACTGAATGCAGCATCTGGCTGTGTCAAATCTACGCTTAACCATCACCCCATGGCTTTTCTGGGAAGGACCTGGAGGTTCCTGAGCCCCAGGCCCCCAATATAACRTGCTCTCCCACCAGCCCAAAACATTCCCTGTGCTGCCACCCAGGGACACGGGAAGAAATGGGTCAATGGGTTTGCCAATTAAAATTTCAGGAAGCATCGTCCTCCCCGATGCCAGCTGATGAGGAGAGATTAAAAATTWAAGGTTCTGATGCTTTTACACTCCTGTGACGGAGCTCTGCCTGGTTTCCCCAAGGAGCTGCTTATCTGTAGGAAGTGCATTGAGGTGGGATGGAAACGTGTCCCTCAGGGCCAGGGGATGGGGCCTGTGGTCACCCACACCAAGGTGGCCCTTGGAAGCCCAGGCAGCTTCTCCCACCTTGCAGTTGGCTGYGAGCTCGAGGCAGCTCGAAGGCAGCTGAGCTCCGTGGTGGGAGACAATTCCATAATCATCTGAMAAGGATAACTCTTCCCATAAGCAGATGTGCCGGCTGAGCTCGGGAGCGGGGCTGTGGTTCATGGTAGGCTGCATTTTGCAGCATGTAGAAACATGTGCTCCAGTGGTCCAAGGCATCCAGAGAGCCAGATAAAGCAGCCACAGGAGAAGACACCACGCGGCCAGGACAGCAGCCACAGCAAGATGTCCACTCAACTTCCCTCTGCTAAGGAGAAGGCATTTCCCACCGTGCGTGGGCCTCCTCCCCAGGACAGTGCTGTTCCACTTAACTCTACGTCGCAGACATCGCAGCATCACTCAGGCAGTTGTAAATTGGTCRAGCTGCTGTTTGTTTGGCCTGTAGATCAGGAGTGTGCGGCATGACTGAAGTTACGCTTTTCATGCATGCGTAAAATCACATTTGAAGCCATAGGCAGTATTGGCAAGATGCTCTGCTAAAGGCAGAYGTCTGGGGTGACTAAAACCTGAAAATAAAAGAGGAATCATTGTGAAAGGGTTTCAGCACTGACGGTCCACGGAAGCCAGTGCAAGCAAAATAATTTACACCCCTGATGGCAGAACAGACCTCTCAAAAGGACCTTCTGCTCATTGCTATCGCAGATGTCAACGGGATACGATCGTTTTGGGATCCGCTGTGTTTGGAAGTCACTTGGACCTAGACGTAAGAAGRACCTTCTGAAGGAGGCCTGGATTATTCTGCAGCCTCAGCTAGCGATGAGAGATGGAGGGGTCTAGAGGACTCTGATCAGCAGAGAATGTGGCCAAGGACACCAAGGAGAGAGTAACTGCCAGGAGGCAATCTGGGCAGCACCAGGTCCTAGGAGAAGGTGGCCTTGCACTGTGACATGATGGCTCAAAGTGCTTAGGATATGCCAGGAGAGGCTTTCCAGAGATCACATTCTTCTGAAGTAGTGAAGAAAACCTCRAAAGAAAAGCTGAGGAGCGCAATGAGCTCTACAGAAAATCGCAGCCTTCCCTGTTTGGCTTTGGAAGGGTTGAAATGGAGGCATCTAGATACCCTGCTCATCAGCTGAATCCGGGCAATGGGAGATACTGGAATCCTTCAATAGTCCTGCAGGTTCTCCCTGTAGCAAGGCTTCTCTTTCCCCACGGGCTTCTGRAATGGCTTTCCCCGATCAGCCCACACAGAAGTAAGAAATAGAGAGATAGGATGGCAAAGGCATCCTTAGATGTCTGCAGGGKAGACATCTCCATCTGAGCTCATCCCTGAAGCTTCCTCGCTAGTCTGTGGGAGAAAGAGGCATTTTTAGAGCATGATTCATTGACCTGTTTTAGACAGCTCCATAAGGACAAAATGAATCACTCTCCCGGGTGCCTATTTCTTTCCATCCTCTCCACATGGTGGGAGCTTGAACGACTGGTGTGGAGATGGGCACCAGTAACGTGAGGTGTGATGAGTGGTGGGGTCCTATGAGATCCCTGTGGCAAGAGCAGCCCCAAAGTCCGTGCCAAGCTCCCTCCCATCTGCAAAAGATGGGACAAGTTGCCTCCTTTCTGTGGTATCTCTCCCCCCTTTCTCAGTCCAGGGATGATCCGGATTCTCCCTGTGTGCAGGGCTGTTGACACAAGGACCTGCTGCATGGCTTGGYCTCAGCATGTCCCTATAACATGTCCCAAGTGTCACCCTGTCCTCAGTCCGCATCCTGCRAGCCAAGCTTTGCCATGCCCTAAGCTCCCATGCTGATCCCCGAGCGGTGGCTCTGCCACTTGCATCTGCAAAACTGGGGAGGAAATTCAATGCAGACAGCACTTCAAGTGAGTTCCTCCTGCTTGGTACATCTGCTCAGCTTGGAGAGGTCAGAAAAGCAGCTTTCCTTGGGCATTTTGGCACTTCCAGCCCTCATGAGCAAGCAGAATGGAAGCAGAAAAGGTATTTATAGATAGCATTGGGCGAGAACCAGCACTGGGTTCCAGATTTGCAAACTCCCTCCCCCAGGGCTGGGTTCAAGCCTTGTCTGAATGTTCACATTAATCAAAAGCTACTTAGACACGTTACACCTTCCACGGGAGCAACAGAATTTCATTAGTGGGAACTGCTAACAAATGAGGAAGTTTTACTGGAATTTTATTTTCTACACTCACCAGAGTGCAGCAGAGATGTCAGGATTTACCCTTGGCAAAGGGGACGGCAGCTGCCCTTCGAAGCCCTTTTTGTCCCCAGCCCTGCAGGCTCCTGCTTAGTCCCATTTACTCCCGACTTCCTCCTCCTTTTAAACAGGGACCATTGCAATTGCTCCCCAGTTTGCAGGTTGAGGAAAGGAAGTGTTCCCACAGCAATAGCCCTGGAGAAAAAGAAAAAAGGCATGCAAGGAAGGGCTAGGTGCTCTTTGCCTGCAGTCAGAGCAAGAAAGGTATTTCCTAGCATTTAATTAGAGCACTTTTTTAACCACAGAGCTCAGTGCAAACACAGAGCTGCCTTCTCCTCTCCCAGCAAGTCTCCAAGCCAGTGGAAAGCCCGGCTAACCAGAGCAATAACACAACGGAATAAAGTAAAAATTACTTCCCTTATTTGATGTGATTATAGAGCAAATATTGCACCTGCGAAGGAAACGCAAGTGACAAGTCCCTTTGCTGCACGGCTTGAAGAGGTGACACGCAATACAGCGTCCCCCACCAGCGTGTTGTGTCGGGCTGCTCGCCGGCGAGAGGCTGGGAATCGGTGGCAGTTCACGAGGGCTCAGTCGCGTTTCATTACGGGGTTGGCGAGACRGGCTCTTCCCTCTGCCTTCCATTAGCAGCTCCCTGCTAATGCTGTCGGGGTGGAAGTGCTTCCTGTCCTCAGAGCCCATCCATSCCTGTGTGGTGGGAACAGGACGGGAAACACTTCACCTTCCACCCCATTTCCAAGCACTGGATGGTTTCTGGTCCATGAAACTKCAGCCCATTGCATTAGCTGCAGGCTGGGACCTTTTGGTCCTGGGGTTCCCACCTTGGAGCTCCCRTCCAGGACCTGGGCACGTGGAGGCTACAAGTCCAACAGCAACAACTCTAGGAAAGCAAACCCTTCTCCATCATCCGGAACGTCTTAGCTGCTGGGCAAAAATAAGCAAACTGCCCTTCTTGGAGATCCCCAGAGGCTCCCGGGGCTTGTCCCTGGTGGTCCATAGTCCCTGAAGCTCCTCTCCAGGTTCAACTCATCTGTGTCTTGGGAATCTGGTACCTTTCTCCCTTTCCCTTCCGGATGCTTCTGCTCTCTGGATCCACCTTGCAATCCAGAACTGCCACTTCTTGTCTGCCTGCAGACTTCCGACAAGGCTCATTGCATAAATGACCTCGAGGGATGTTTTTCTCTGCAATGTTCCAGTGAGTCTTCAGCGAGCCCATGAAAACTGCAATTTTTTTCTGAGGATTATAACTCAGTAAAATAGGAGATGATTTTCTCAGGGACTGCAAAAAAACACTTGCACAGCATAAATGTCAGCCTTTGCCAAATTCCAGCAGAAGGAATGAAGTTTGCTTTATAGATTTGTTAGTGTTTGGTTGACTCCGTAGGATAAACTCATTTGGAAGAAAGCATTAATTTATAAAACATAATTTATTTACCCCTTAAAGAAGAGATTTATTTAGAAGCGTGAGAACCTGACCAAAATTAACTGTTAGAGAATACTGTTAATAATAGCTTTCTAGAAGTTATTACAGTTTTTTAAATAAAACATGGATTAAAAGATTACTTTCAGTTCTCAAGTATCAATTATGTCTCTACTGGAATTCATTTGTCCAATTACCATTCCTGCTCATTATACGGCTTGCTAGGAAAACAAATCTTATTTGTTTCCCATAGAATTAAAGTAATTTATGGTTTGCAATAGCTAACGCTTGTAATTTTGATTTTTCTTTCCTTTAACCCCCATTTGGAGGCAAACTTCAGCTCAATTCCTTCATTTCAGCTGCCGTTACGGCCTCATCAGTGCGGTTAGTTATTGGGCAGGGAATCCCTGCTCCGCTCGGGGAGTCTTGCGATGAATGCGGCGGTGTCGGGAGCACGTTGCCTATGGCAACCTTCCCATTTACTCGAGTGCTCCCGCGCCGGTGAACTCCGGAGCACTGTCAAGGTGTGCGTGGGATGCGGTAGCGCTGTGCGCTACAGCACAGCACGATTAAAAGTCATTTCCTCTGTCAAAAACGACGGCCGCTTTTGCATCCCGAGATGACATAGGGAATTACCGACCTGCAGCCTCCTCTTCCTTCTCCCCAGGTGTGCCTTAAGGAGCCTTCCTCCATCCCACGGCACATATCAGCACTGCTAAGGTTCAAGGAGAAGCAGTTTCTGTGAAAAAATAATAATAAAAAATTATTGTTCTCAGCTGGAAAGCCTAGAAAATAACCCACGGAGTGCTATAGCTGTGATGAGCTCCCTGGCAATAGGCTCTGCTCCTAAATATTAATTTGGCCGAGCCAACTCCCTTGGCAATTTGGGAACACGCGGGTCAGAAGCTCTCTTCTGAGCAGAGCTCAGGAGCTGCCCGGTCCTTGGGGACTGCAGGGTGGTTAAGCCAAGGGGAGCTGYACATGCGGGGTGCCCTTCCCATTGGATTCATGTCTTGCAAAGAGACACCCAACCTCCTTTTTGCAACCCGTTGTGCCAATGTCACTGCAAGGGAGGGTGGCATGGGCAGAGCCCTGATGCACGCAGCGGTTCTGCAGCAACTGCAATTAAACCTGGTACCAGCTGAAAATTCAGGTGGTGACACATGCTTTCAAGAAGCACAGGCTCCCTTCAGATCATAAATTAAATAGGAACACAAAGGGGTGAGCGTTGTGGGGCGAAAAACTGTTAGAAAAACATCAAAGCGCTCAGATGTGGCAAAATCCACCCAAACGATACAGATGCAACCTGCCCGAGGGAAACATAAGGGCAACTTTTCCTTTAATTAGAACATACCTGCTTGGAGAAATTAATCTTCTTTAATAAGCAAAACTCACACTGTCCTCTCCAGTAACCTTTGCATATAATATTAATTAAACATGGCATCCTCTGACAATGCATCAGGCTGGCAGCAGGAGGCAAAACCCGCCTTGACAGCGCCTGAAAATGCCAACTGCAAACACGATTTCCCAGTTGCCACAGATTCTAGCTCCTTTTTTTTTTCCCTTAATGATTTTTCTCCTTTGCAAAGTTCTACTGAGATATCATCTGCAAACCAAACGAGCAGAGATAAAAAACCCATGGTGGCTACTTGATTTTCTAGTGGTATAAATGAGACGTCTGAGTGTGACTGGTACCAAGGCTGGCATCATGGCAGGGCACTRCTGCTATTGCTTTCCCACAGAGGAGATGCCCATTATCCCCACGGCTTTCCCATGAATAATGAAATTATCCCTATCCCTCCAGCTCCCACCTTCCCTGGAACAGGTCATCCATCGTTTGCCTTACAGGGAACCCGAAACCAGCATAAAAATCATTCTGCTTATTATTTCTCCCTAGGAGTTTTATCAAAAAGGGACTAAATGCAAYGGAAAACTCCCTCCATGTCCAAGCAGGAGCTCAGCACGGGTGGCTGAATAAACAGACACCAAGGTCTGGCTTGCTGATATCTTAAAATACAGACCGCAAACTGTCAGCAAACCCTTCAGGAAAAGCACAAGACGTGAAGGACGAGCTAACTTCCGAAATGAGTATCAATCAAATATTCATTCTCTTAATAGGTGTAAGTAAATATGTCACTAGGTAGAGCATTTGGAATTTAATAATAKAATGTAAGATACTGCAAGAGAAGGGCTGCCTGCCCCACGGCGGTACATGGGTGGGAATGGATAGGAACCTCTGGAGGATGGATATATAAAATACATATATATTCTTTTGAAAATGCCGTGTTCTTGCCTGATACTGTTTGGTTCAGAATTTGTAATTCTGCATGTTATTCAACGGTATTTTCACTCTAGTAAAAACCTTGGTTACAGAGGGCATCACTACCGAAGCTCCGGGCTCGATACCAGCCACTTTGCATCCAACACGATGCAATTGTGCGTGATTCAAATCACAGCAGTAAAACAACAAACCTGCTGCCACCTCTCTGCTGACGGGCCCAGATTTTCTCCTGTCCTGTCCCATCCCCCTCGGTTATAATAATATTAAAAAAAAAAGACCTAAATGCACAGCTTTATGGAAACCAAAATCAAATTCCTTCCGCAATGGTCATAAACATCAGCTACRCACCACGATGAACAAAGGACCCATTGCAGCTAGAGGCTGTCAAATAAATACTCCAAACCTTTTAAAGTACAGGAGCCCTTTGAGTCAGCAAACCTTTAAAGGCAGGTTGCTACGAGACGCCGCTAACACTGGTGATGAACAGCTCAGCAACGTGCTCCCAGCGTGGTAAATACCAGGTTTCGGTATTTATGGATCAGTATTTATTAAGGCATTTCTTTATGCTGCTGACAGCCCSTGCTAAAACAAGACGGGGCTGCTGTAAAATCCCCTCTGTTCCTGCGAGGAAAGATTGATTAGCACCAGCTATATCGTCTCCCATATGGTCCCTATAGGTCTGGAGGTTGCCAGAAGATGAGAGATTGGCCCCGCCAGCAGCCATCTGCCTGGAGTGAAATGTGTTTTCATTGGGTAAATAATTAAACYGAGACACATCTTTCATAGTGCAAAATATAGAGGGCAGATGAGCACAGTTTTGCTTAAAAATGACAAAAAAAATCTTGGCTGTGGGGGAAAAAAAACCCATGAGGTTACTCAGCAGCGGTCGGGTAAGTGGATTTAGAGGCAGGTGGTGCTTTTTTCACCCYAAACTTGCAATGCTTCTCCCACGGAGAAGCTCTTCTGTTTGCAGCACTGTTACCTGAGGGAGACATAGGGCCCTCTCCATCATTTGAAGGTGTCCCYGAAGACAGGGCTGATGATTAGCACGCAATAAAGCACCGGCTTTTCCTGCCAAAAGCCTCCTTCCCCTGCAGCCCCCGTTTTGGAGCTGTAGTTTTAGGAAGCTCAGCTTTCCAGGGGGAAGTTCTCATGAATCTGTGGCAGGACCAAGAGGAAAAGGCATCGCTGCCCTTAGCAACTAGGAGGATGGGAATCTCACCACTAGCAGACATAGGGATGGCTCCGAGGAGTTCAGATCTCTCAGATATCCCTGAGAAGGTCACACTTTGGGATGTGGTACCCAGGATTTGGTGAACTAGGAGGAAGCAAAAAAAAAGAAATTTTTAAATTTAAAAAAAATCCATTCTTAATGCAAGAGGGAAATTGAAGACAAGCTCCTGAGGAATTTGCTTTCATTACAGAGGAAGTAATGGAAGGGATTTAAGGAGTTCTCATATGAAGGGAATATA